TAGGAACGGGTTAACCCTTGAATTTTAATCGAGCGCGTTAGGCGCGCAAATCCGTGGCCAGGACTTTTGTCTTGCTTGAAAATATTTGCATGGCTAAGCGATGGTGATTAGAGGGAAATCGGCGGAAAAATGCTCTCCAAGATGGGCACGAGGTGGCGGGCGGCACAGCTTGAAGTCCGCGAAATGAGATTAATACGCGCTAAGCTTAAGTCGGGCGGGTTAAATCCACACACACACACACACACACACATACCATCACTGCCTGCTTTATAATCCTTGCTTAACTCTTTCGCTCTGCCGTACTCCCACTTTCCGCTAAAGCGGATCTACACATAAGTATGTATGTATGTAGGTGTGCAGATCTTTGGTGGGTAGGTAAGACCAATTTGCTGAAAATTGGCTACCGTAGAGCCGTAGGTTGTAAACAGGCAATATAAACAACGGAAGCACATGCTTATGTCCTGTGTCGGCCCTTCAACTCAACCCGTTCGAGTACGGCTACCTAGTCTCCTACTTGTATGTACTGTATCCTCCCTCGCCTTTAGGTAGCCGCGCGCCTTGTTTGCATGCACCGCGTTGATCCGCTGCACAAACAAGCTAATCCTGCGGTTAAACTGCCATTGAGTTTATCAAAATAAAGCAAGCCATACCCGGAAGGACGCCATACATCGAGGACACGAACACACCAAGTCGCAGGCGTACCTCAGGGCGTACCAACTTTGTTTAGGCCATGAGGCCCAGAAGAAGGGGTTAAGGCCGTGCAAAGGGTTAAGACGTTCATCTGTGTGCGCGCGGATTTATTTGTCCACAGTAGTCCTGTAGTCCTGTTAGTTTTGTGGGCTGCCTCCGAAGTGGATTTCGGCTACTTGTGCGCAAATATCAGAAGTTCTGCTCACAAAACGAACAAAACTAAATGCCTGCTATAAATCTGGCTGATTAGTAAAGTGCTCTCGCCCCTGTCCAGGACCTATTGCCACTCACAGGCAGGGCAGGGCATCCTTGCGAAGGACATCAAAGGCAGTTCATAGTTGATTTTGAAATCTGTCCTCTGAGTTTTTATCAATGACGCTATTGGTTTTTTTTCTCAAGTGTCCGGTAGGTTTTGTTTGTCGGGCCACAAATTACAGTTTTTATTTGCGAATGAGGGAGTATTTTTATAGTTCTAAGGAGCCGCAATCAGGTTTGAGTTTGTTTGATTGGTCTGTGTTTGTTTTTTTGTTAATCAAAAGGCATGTCTTCAGCAGGAAGGAGTTTAAAGTATTAAGATGTTTATTTTTTATGCCCACCAATTAAATAGCAATTTTTTAATGCTTTTGAAGAGTTTTTGATGAAGCAATGTGTATTAAATGGGTAAGGGATGTACAAGATGTAAGTCGCAGTATTGAAATATAATTCGGCTTTTTTTTTTTGGTCAGAATTGTTTTAAAAACTTTATTCCTATGCTACTTTCTCACATATATACGAATACATATTCGTATAATACTCTTTCAAATAAATCAGTAGAGTGTCAAACATGAAAATGGTATCCGCAATTATAAAAGGATGCCATTTTTAAGAACTCTTAAACAGGCTTCGAAGCTGTCTTTAATTTTACAAGAAGACTTGATTTGTCGAATAGAAATATAATGTTCTATTGCTTTTTCTAAAATTTTCAATGTTTTTTATTCATACCTCTTTCTATTTCGGAGCTGGATTCGTTTGGCTAATTTATTTTATTTTCTATCGGTCCTGTTCTTTGGAATGCAAAAAAAGCAAATGCAAGCTACGCCTTAAAATTAGAGCTAGAATTATGCCGTTAATCCATATATTTTAACATGCGATAACTTATTTAGCAATCAGATTATGCGTCTTTCTAATGATGAGTCTATATAATGAATATTTTTTAAAAGTTTCCCGATATTTATAAGTGTAATTTTTCTCCATTAGTTCGCAAAATTAGTCTTTTACTCTTTACTGAACTAATTTTTCATGAGGAAGTATTATTTTACACATTTTTGAATTTGTCTAAATAAGTTTGGCAAGCTTTTCAATTTTATAAACATGAGCGAAATTTCCCTCGTGATATTCTATCAATTAATGTTTAATTTCAAAATAAATTATAACTAATAATTATTCTTTACAAACACAATCACAACTACATTTCATTTCATGCATCACGCAAGCGTCCCATTTGTTTCCCTTATCATAAAAAATGTATGCTAGTTTTCAAACAATCAACAATTTTGGTAAATAAATAGTTAATTAAAACAGACAATAAGTATAAATCAATCGAATTTGTTGGGGGCAGCAATGAACTTTTAGAATTCTCCGCCATTTTGTTCAGCTCCCCGTCAACACATACTTACATGCGTGCATATAAATATGAGTACGACTGTATAAATATATGTAAGAGTGTGAGAGTGTGCTTGGAGCTCAAGTTGTGGCGCAGTCTGTCTCTCATTCTCCAATAAACAAATGTCTCCACAGAAAACGTGCATCCAATAAATTGTGGCCATGTACTCGAATCATACTCACACTCTCGCACACACACTCAGACATGGTTGGGCCACATTCCGTTACATGTATAACCCACCCAGTTGCTCTGTTTGCACACACACATAGCACAACAAGAAAACATGGCGGTGGCTAGCACAGGTCTCACTGCTGCTTTTTTTATTTTATTTTTTTTATTGTTATTGTTGCTGCTCGATGTCTGTGTTTTGTAGTTTTATTTTCCGTTCAGGTAAAACATGTTTTTCCATTTCTTTTTTATGTTGCCGCTACACCTTTTAAATGCAAGTACGCCCAGAAACTGTCAGTGCCTTGCTCCAATCAGAGGCGAGCCATCGCCCTCGACGTCACTGTTGTAGGTATTTTGCCAAGTTCCACACGTGTGCACGCCCCCAAATTGTGAAAACAATTATTATGATTACAAAATGCTTTCGATTGGATTTGTGGTGTGGCCGAACTCTGGCATGGGCATGCGAATGGCGACAGCTGCTCTAGAAATTTCTGAGAAATCCAATTTACCAACAAAAGTACGAATAATTGTTCTGTATTTTAGATACGTGACGTTGGCCGCAATGGCGAATCGTTTAAAGCTTTTAGAAACATTTGTACAAGTATATTTAATTGCGATTGGAAATATTTTGAATTACCTCAAAGATGAGTCAATGAATTCGTATCTGCCAGTAATTGAAGGCTACGAATAAATTAGAAGACCATTAAAGTAAATGTATAACTATTCAAATTTAGGTTCGTAAAATTGTTTGAGCTTTTAAGTGCAGTCCTATAGTTAAAAGTACAGTTCTATAGTTTTGGTTTTGTTTGACGAATTCTATTAGTCATTAAATATTAACATTGATATGCCTTAACAATACATATCTTATATTTGTATAGAAATTATTTCTATATGAAATAACAGTGTTTCCTTAAATGTAAAAAAAACCCACGAGAAATGATTCCAAGGTTTTTGAATAGAAAATATTTCTCTGACCATACAAAATTCGATATAGGAATCCGCAAATCGGGCACGAATAGGCTTTGATCTGATGCTCGTAAGCTAAATAATGCTGCTTTTCTATATAGCCGATGGGAAATAGTGTTAGGAAGCGGGTTTCCTCAGTTTCCTCAGCAGATGCAGATATATGCGCTTTCTTTACAATACCCCAGCATCGAATAACTTGTCTCACTAGGTACGTAACTTAGTTAATCTGTAAGTGTGATCCTGGTTTCAAAATCTTAGTCTGATTAGCGACGATTAGGTAATTAACTTATTCAATTTATTACTATGATTTTAACAATATTTGTACTTAAGTAAGTCAATTTATCAAAATCGGAGTCTAAGCTAGTGCGCGATGGACATAAAAGAAATACGAAAAGAATGTATGAGCCCTGGTATAAATTAGTTTAAATATAAGGACGAACAAAAAATCTTTCCAAGTGTACTCGTATGCATAAAACGTGTATAATAAACTTTTGACTGCATGGCCTGACCTAGTTCTGTGAATTACAAACGCTAAACAGAATTTGATTCGTTAGGCAGGCCTTTGGCGCTCGCTGCCAACGAAATGCAAAAGTTTGTAAACTATGTGCAACATTAAAGGGGCCAACAAGCAATAACAATGCGAACAGACACACACACATCCAGACACACACACGGATACATACGCAAAAACTCGCATGCAGACAGCAACAAAGATATGAGCAAAATGAAATACAATTAATAATGGCAACTGTGTGTAAAAACAAGAAATCCATTACCGGCAACAACAGCAACAACAATAGCAGCCACAATAACAAGCAGCTGCCGTCACAGCAGCAGCAACAGCAACAACAGCGGCAGCAGAACAACAACAAAAACACAAAAAAAAGAGCACATATAATTGAGAAACCTGGCGTATCAAAATGCAACCCACAAGCCAAAAGGCAGAGCGCATGTGTGAGAATTGGTAACGGGGGTCGGGGTCGGCGTCTCCAACCAAGTGATAAAAGCAAAAACAATTCAGTGGTGTCATGTCAGCAGCAATTAGTAACGAATGGGAAAATCTCAACAGAGCCAGTCAGAGAGAGAACGACAAAGGAGTAAGTGAGAGAGCAGGCAAGTCTACAAATGCGTTCCACGCTGTTGATTGGTCAGCTGGCTAAGGCTGCAGGGTGGTTGCTGCCAAAGCAGCAATGGGAAAAAACACACGGCCGAGGTAATGTCTGTGTGTGTGTTTGTGTGTGTGTGTGAATGACGAACCTGAACGGCTGCAACGGCAACTGGATTCTTGTTTTTAGTCTACACAAAACGCCACAGCGCAGCGGACGTGCCACGAAAGACGCCGACGACGACAACGACAAAGCTTATAAAGACGCTAAACTGAACGATTTCGATAAACGCGCGTCATAAATTTGTGATATTTTTTAGTACATAAACCAAATACGAACAACTACAGCTTTGAAACATTGAGACTTTTGTGGTGTTTGCAGCAAATAAAAGCAACAAATATGCAACGCTAAGTGTTTGGATCTTGAGTTCATAAAAGTGGTAGGAAAATCTCGATAATATCAGTCGGCAACAACATGGTCAAGATCGAGCCCAGTGAGATTAGTGAGCAGCACAAATCGGTCTATCATCATCAACAGCATCCGGCCCTGCACCAGCCACATACAACAACAACCGGCAGCCACGGCCTCAATCTCAGTCCGGCGACGCTGCTGATGAAAATGGCGCGCACGCCCCATTTGAAGTCCAGTTTCTCCATCAATGCCATACTGCCGGAAACCGTGGAGGACAATTGTCCCACACCAGCGCCACAGGATGTGGACCAGCAGCAGAAATATGCGCTGAACAACAACAATAACAATAACAACAATAGTCATCATCAGCATTGCGGCTCGCCGCTGGGTTCGGAGGAGCAAGGCGAGGTCAGTGATGTGGAATCGGATTTAGATGTCACCTCCATGTCGCCACCGCCACTGCGTGTGGCCGAAACCGGAGAAAGCGATGTGGATGAGGCGGACGATGATGATGCCGACGAGGACGTGGATTGTGATGCGGATGGCGATGGCGAAACTACCGACGGCGATGCGGATGCGAAAAATGGGGACGGCAAGCCGGTCAAGGATAAGAAAGGCAATGAGAAACCGCCCTACAGCTATAATGCGCTCATCATGATGGCCATACGCCAAAGCCAGGAGAAACGTCTCACTCTGAATGGCATCTATGAGTACATAATGACCAATCATCCGTATTATCGGGACAACAAACAGGGCTGGCAGAACTCCATACGCCACAATCTGAGTCTCAACAAATGTTTTGTAAAGGTGCCGCGTCATTACGACGATCCTGGGAAGGGCAATTACTGGATGCTAGATCCATCGGCCGAGGATGTTTTCATTGGCGGTTCCACCGGCAAGCTACGACGACGCACCACCGCTGCCTCGCGCTCCCGCCTGGCCGCCTTCAAGCGCTCCCTCATCGGACCCATGTTCCCAGGCCTGGGCTACCCACAATTTGGACAGTTCCTCACATATCCGGGCGCAGCGGCTGCTGCCGCAGCAGCGCCCAGTCTGCTGGCCAGCATGTATCAGCGCTACAATCCGTTTGCGCCAAAGAGCCCGGTGGGCATGGCGCCACCACCGCCGCCACCCACGCATATGGCCGGACCGTTTGCCGCTAGCGTGGCCGCTGCCGCCAATTACAATGGCATGGAGCGTCTGTTGGGCGCTCATCCAGCCGCTGCGGCGGCTGCAGCGGCCAACAGCTCGGAACTCTATCAGCGCCTGCAGTATCAACAGCTCTTGCATCAGCATGCGGCAGCCGCCGCTTTGGCGGCACATCAAAGGCAGCTGAGTGCGGCCGCCGCCTTGCCACCACCACCGCCCACAGCGCCAGCGCCACAGCCACATATGACACATCTGGGCCAACCGCCTTCACCGTCATCCAATCAGCCACTGTCGCCGAGCGGCATGCAGGCAAGTTCCCCCATGCCAGCCCATCTAGCGGCGGCAACAGCACCACCGCCACCACCCGCGCCCATTCTCAAGCCCGTGACGGTGGTTTCACGCAACAGCTGAAGGTGTTTTCACCTCTTAAAGCCGTTGTGGTTGTTGTTGTTGCTGTTGGCGGGTGTTTGCTGTCGACCAGCTTTTGGGGCACAGCATTCTCACATAAATATAGTGTATATAGCAGATATATTGTATATGAAGTCTACAGAAATGACTGAGGTGCTACACTGAGAGAAAAGGCTAGCAAAATGCGCAACTTGATAGGAAAAGGGTATTTATTTTGGAGAAACTAAAGGACTGTTCAAACTTGCTCTACAATTTCTTTCTCTTCTTGAGATCAATTCTCTTAATCAAGTTTTCTTTTTAGTCTCTAGTTTTAGCACAAAAATAGAGCCTCACAAAGGAAAGATGAAAAAGAAAGAAGGCAAAACTATAAAAATAAAATTATATATGAATTTTTTGAAATTCTCCTTTGATAATGAACATTCGTAAACAAAACACTTTTTGTTGAATCATTGATATTTAACGCACTGGCAAGAGTTGAGTTTTAAACCGCTATAGAAAAAAACAAATTCAGAATTATAAGTCTTTAGTTGCAGATCGTTGATTTACAATTCAAAAATGACTAAAAATGACTAAAAGCAGTAAAGTAAAGAAGGAAGTTTTTAGTTGCTTTAACAAATGATCTTTAACAAAATTAGGCTATAAAGGCAGTGAAATAAAGGAATTAAGAAACCTTTAGAAGAAATTATCTTCAAATAAGCTCTGAAGCTCTTCATTATTCAAAATCTAGACTATGAACGCAAAGAGAGTATGAAGGGATTCTGATTAAGTTTTCAAAATGTTAAATAAAAAGCGCAGTAAAGTAAAGAAATTAAGAATCTCTTTAGTTGCAGAAAGAATTAATTGTCTTTTAAAATTCTGCTACAACGGAAAGCTCATCATCTTTCAAAATGTAGAGTATAAAGGTGGCGAAGGTGAAGTACACCTAATTCTGTTTCTACAGGGTCTTTTTTTACACGGTTTGAAAATTAAAAATTTCATATTTATTTCTTTAGAGATAATGAACCAATGTCTTTTTACACGGTTGTTTCTGGAACCAATCTGCCGTGTAAAAACAGAATTAGGTGTATTACTTTTGTACTTCAGCAAGCTGTTTGCTATCAATAGAATGCAATTCAGGTCGCTCTTTCTAATATTTATTATTACACTGAACTAAAGACTACAGTTAAACATTTATTTTCCTATGTTATGAGCAGAAAGATAACTCCCAGTTCCTTCACAGTATTCCAATATTTGCAAAGAGATTTCATTACTTTGGAACGATTTTTATGCAAAGATACAAATGAAACTATATTATTAAGGGTGTCTATATTTTTCTACAGAAAAATTTGCGCTCATAATAAATACTTCATGATCTGACTTTTATTAGCTAACTTTTATATTTTGATTAAAAACTTTTTAAATTTGATATTTTTTTAAAATTAATTGTTGAACTTTCAAATAGAAAATGTGTCTCCTGTATAGTTCTCTATAGTTAATTCAATATAATATCTTAAAAAAGTATCAATTATTATCATAATATGCCGCTTTTAAGGTAGGGCACTTTTTTTCAAAATAATTACGTTCTACCTATCAGTCTGCCTGATAAATCATAAAACTGCGCTATTGAGCTGTAAAAAAAGTGTTTTAATTTGAAAATTTTTTGTTTGGACAATCATTGTACACTGCCTTTCAAGGAACTCTTTTAGTTTCAATATAATTTCATTCTTCTTCTTTTTCGCCTCCCTGAAAAATCTTGATTCTTATGAAAGACTTCCTTCTCCCTATTAGTTAAACTATTTCCTATTAGGTCGCTGTTGCTTTTTCTCTAAGTGTAGCCATTGTATATAGAAATGAATGAACAATTGTAAAAAGAAAACTAAACCTTATACATAGAATGCAAGTTGTTGTCACATATCTACTTAAGCGCTGAGGGCAAAGATTTAAGCACTAATTAATTTATAATTCAAACAACTACACAACAAGAAAGAAAATCAATTAAAATTCAATTGAAATAAAATATGAAAAACGACAACTCTTGGTTGTTTTTATGGCATAGAGAGGGGTGGGGGGGGGGAGCCACAATTGTGGCTATGGCTGTGGTTGTGTGGTTCAGTGTGCTAAATTGAACTGCTACGAGCTAAATTAATCTGTTGTCGCGACAAAGTCGTCAGTGACGACAACGGCAACAGCCACGTCCAACCGGAAGTCCTTAATAAGTTGAGCACACACACACACACAGGCGCAGACACACTCGCAGCCATAAACAGTCAGTCAGTTAGACAGACAGTTATGTCTATGGCTCGAGTCCGGGGTCGGGACCATTCGTCGTTGTAAGCCCGCGCTAAAAGGCACTACTAAGTGTCAAATCAAATAAAATTTTAGCGCATGTCCCACACACGCCACTCATCCGGAGGGGCCAGTGGACCGGGGACCGGGGACCGTGGACCGCGGGCCATGGACATTGGAAAGCGGAAAGCGGCTGCTTATGTCAAGTCATTATGTTGTTCGGCTGTGTTTCAGCGCCATAATCAACACTCTGCCAATGCGGGCCAAACATTTGCTGATTAATGTTGAAATTGAAATTGAAATTAAGTGGATTTCGGTTAAGTTGAAGACGATTAATAGCTATGGGAAGAAAGCGGAATTGTGATTGCAAACTCGATCAACGAAAACTGTTTAAATGTATTAGTTTCTTGTACGATTTATAGTAGTTACTATATGGAAAGAAAGCGGCATTATGTAAAAATTGCCTATTTGAAAAACTCTCTTCAATGCCTCAGCCAGAGATTAAAATTTGAAACGGGAAATACATTCTTTTTTTTACTTTATCATTTTTATTTAAGAAATGAACAAGTAGTACTTTTTTGTGCACAATTTATAGTTATGAGAGGAAAGCAAACTTGTAATTGCACAGCTATTTAGAAAACTCTTTTAAATGCTCGAACTAGAGAAGAAAGGATGGAAATCATAACAGATGTATTGGAACGATAAATGATGACTATGAAAAGTATTGAATTCTTTAAGCCCACATATATATATTAGAGCAGACAAAACACCCCTTAGAACATATGTATTGTGGATCTGGACGACAAGGCGATGGAGAAAGTTGGCGGGTAGTCTCAGAAGTGTCGGTAAGATTCTATATTCTATTGAAAAATTGATTCAATTCTACGACAGCTTTCCAGACTGCCCGCCAGTGTTAGTGTATATATTTATAGGGTATATTAAGATAATACATTCATCTGAAGAAACTTGAAAGCAGGCAAGATTCCAAAAATTGCAAGACACATCAATATTTAAGCATTTTATACAATTTTCTTATATTTACAGCCGATTTTTTTATAGGTGCGAAGGGAATGAAATTTATTTGGGCTGGATGGTATTAACATTTCAGATGTTTAATGATTATTAAGTTAAGAATCGGCATGCAATATTGGTTAAACCTAAGCTATATTATTTTATATATATAATATAATAATATTATTATATATATTTTTTTTAAATTTTAAGTTCGTGGTATATGGACATCTTATGCTCTTATGAGTGGGAAGCTCTTTTTTTATATAATTTCTTTTAAAGCGTTTAGTTATTAATTAGTTTAGCTTTATAAATTGTATGTATCGACTTTAATTTGCAACTCATCTATTGAGTTATATTTTTATGCCAAAAACTGACTTACTTCTTTAAAAAAATCAAACTATTTAGTAACAACTTATTTATAAAACATAATTTCAAATAAAGAACAAATTTGATTCTCAAAAGTATTGAGCTCAATAAATTCAAATTCATTTACCCGCAGCTCGTTTGTATAGCATATAGTAATTATTTAAAAATCACCATTTATCGATAACTATGAAGCCATCGATTCACCAGTCAAGATCAAAACGAATCGAGAAATATGTTGTTTCAACTCTGTTTCAGAATAAAAAGTCGACGTTCGGCTAAGAAAAAAACAATGTTTCTTAAATATTTTGTTTTCATGTCAAATTAGTTTTTACCATATTTACGATTCCTAGATATTCGGTTTTCATATGCAATTATAACAGTATTAACTCTGTTTTTGAAATATATAAGTATTTGTGGTAAAGAAGAACATTTTTTGGGATTTATTTGATATAAAATAATTGTTGTATTTTAAAAGCAAATTCTATAAAATATGGGAACAATTATCAAAATGAAGAAAGGAGACTAATCCTAGTTTTGCTAAACTAACGAAATCTCATCACTCAACCACTATTAATATAATTGAAAATCTCATCAACCCAACTTCTTTCCCGGTTTGAATAGCTAGACCAGGCTTAGCAAAAACTGATATTCATTTGGCGTTGAGCCGCAAACTGGCGCCAGTTTCAATTGCAAACTGCGACGCATACTTAGTTAAAAGTTTCTTGAACCTGCCACTAATAATCGCGCTCAGAGTCGCGATATATGTATGTAGTATGTACACTATATATCTGTGTAATTGAGTAAACTACAAGTGACATCATAGGATAATTCACTCGTAATGTTTACACAGACAATAATCCGCTGGTAAGGCGTTTAAATTGAAAGAAATGTTGCAGTGCTATTGTTGCTTGGGTTGTTCTGCGGTTCTGCCTCTTGGGGGTACGTTTTTGTTTGGCTGTGATTTACGTGGAAAAGAGACAAACAAATAAATTTACTTTGATTGAATAATGGTCCCGTAATTGGCAACTTGAATGGAATTGAGTAGCAAGCAAAACAGATGCAGATGCTCAAAACTAAATTGAAATTGTAACAACAAGCGAAGACGCTGCGCTGCCAGCAGCTACGAGTGTATAAGCACAATAATAAGAATATACACACTGGTATATATTTATGATACAATACGAGTACATGCAAGTATGTACATATATACTTGCTGTATTAACTAACTGAATTGGATAATCTCATCTGAGCATTGAGTTGATTTCAGAGTCAATGCTCGTTGTCATCGCCATCGCCAGAGCCAACATCGTTGTCATGGAGTCTCTAAGATTTTGTTAAATTGAAATGTGCATCTGAGA